TTCCCATGGCAATACTGTAGGACAGAGTAGAGCTGCCCTTCTGGGTTTCCAAAGCTGTAAAACTTCATGGATGCAGACTGCCTCGTCTTTCTCCCAAGGGGCACCTCATAGGTTTGAACCACCAACCATGAGCTTAGTACCTGGGTTCTTTAACCACCACACTACACCACTAAGATCTCTCTTAGTTTGGAAGCTCCACTGAAACCTGTCCACTATGAGTGACCCTGAGGATATTTGAAATCCCATTGGTACAGAACCCAGCGTCACAGCAACACACAAGCCACCATCCTATGGGGCAACATGACAGACGAGTGGAGGGGATAGTTGTGATAGAATTAGTTTATCCACAAATGCCTCTCCGTCCTTGGCAGTAAATGACTTGTCAAATGGCAGGGGGTAGAGAGATTTTGTGACTGAATCTGACAACTAGTGTTTATTGCCGACATGTGTTTATGTGCGTGCTGCTATGTTATTTGTTATAAATGTGTGTGTTTCCACTCTGCTGTAGCATCAGTCTCCAAGAGCAGCGTCCTTTCAGGCCCCTGTGAGGCCCTGAGAGTGAGAACTAACTCCCAGGTTGGGTCCCCGGCCGATTGGCTGACCTCGCCGTCACTCGTGTGTTTTATGTCCGTGAAATGTGTTAACATCTCGCTCAGTTCACTTTGTGTCCAGGAAGCTTTGTGTTTTTTCCAGGTTTTGCTACAGGAGCCCAGACAGCTGGATTCTGGAAGCCATTCATGAGAAAAGTAGCCCTGTTTTCTCTGGCTTCATGTGGGGGGGGGGACATAGCCCTGACGCATTCTGACAAGGGGGTGAGTTTTGTGAGCGGTGGGAAGAGAATGCTTTCAAGGCCTTTGATTGGAGTGACCGGTCTCTGTCTCTTCACACCAACATGCTAGGCCTCTCCGGGTGCTCTCAGAAACAGGATTTTCTTTGTCAAGAAGTGGCTGTTAGGGGGATAAAACTTGCCCCACTGGTCCTGACAGGTCTCCTGTCCAGAATTACAGGCCAGTCCACACCTTCCCATGACCAGAGGTCCAGGGGGCTTGGGGGGACTTCATCAGTGCAGCCCACTCCCTCACAGACCTTTGACATGTCACCCAGGTGGGGATTTTAGCCACTCACCATTTCTGTTCGCTCTCAGGAATGTGGAGGAAGGTGAGTTTTCATGACAGGCTGTGGGACCTCTCTGTCTTCGTACCTGATGTCCCTGTGAGCAAAGTCTTCTCAGAAAGAGAAGAAGACACTGATGTGCGCTGCCAGGGAATGTGGGTGACAGTGGAGCCAGGGGGCTTTTCTCAGGAGGAGGTATTAACCTTCGGTCAGATCAGCCGTGGTCGTTCATGGAGTCTTTCCTGTCCGACAGAAATACCAGGCTTTCATGGACTGGGCCTCACGCCCTAAAATCAGAATCTGTCCCCAGACATGTCCCAAACCATGTACCTCGCTCAGACCTGGGGTGGTCAATTAGTGTGGGCTGCGAGGACCAACCTAGGCTTGAGGCACACCACTCAGGGTGCCAGAGGGTCAGGAGTGTTCTGGAGAATTCTTCTTGGGGTCTAAGGGTTGATGTGTACCACATGACTACTTCTGAGTTCATTCTTGAGTTCAATTATTGTCAAAGGGCTGATTCATTGCATTTTTTAAAACCATTAGTTCCCTTCATAAATTTTACCTTCCTTTTGAGAACTATGTTGTCATTGTAAAATATTTTGGATTTTTATTGTATTTATTTAGCAAACATGTCCATGTAGTGTGTTATTAAAATGTTGCTGTTAGGTGACATTGAGTCTGGGAGAACTCATAGCAGCCCTGTGAACAACAGACCGGAGCCCTGTCAGTATATTTTATTATTTTTATTTCATTTTGATTTTTATATTTGAGTGAAAGTTTACAAAGCATATTACATTTTCAATAAATCATAAGTATTTTGTTTTGTTTTGACATTAATTAATTAATTAAAGTTGGTTAATATAATTAATTGCAGTGTCTCATCAAGCTTACTGTACGTTGCCTTTCCCTTCACCCCACTTCTCCGTGTTAATTTATGCTCCCCTCTCTCTTCCTTCCCATCTCTCTTAGCTCTCCAGGATTGATTCTGTGTGTAAGCCTTTCCTTAGCTTTTTATATTTATGGTCTTATAATTGTCACTCTGTAACTGATTTATGCCACCCAGCATTATTTGGTCTAGATTCATCCATGTTGCACAGTGTTTTATAAATTCTTGATCCTTTTTTAGTGATGCATAATACTCTATTACTAAAAATTGGAATTTTTGGAAGCAGGAGTGGCATCCACTTCCTAAACAACATGCTTCTGGAAACTCTATGAACTTTGATAAATGTCCATAGTCGTAGAGGGGCTTCAGGCCTTTTGTTCATAGGATTGCTGTGAGTTGTGCTCGATTCAAAGGCAATCAACAACACCAACAACAATACTCCATTATATGATGTACCACAGGTTTTTAAATTTTAATTTAATAAAGGCAAATTTGGAAGCAGGAGTGGCATCCACTTCCTAAACAAGATGCCTCTGGAAACTATGAACTTAGAGAAATGATGATAGTTACAGAAAGGCTTCAAGTCTTCTGTTCATGGGATCTCTAGAAGTCATGCTAGACTTGATGGCAATAAACAACAGCAAAGGCAAATAGTGCCTTTATTAAAATATACTGATTATTAAAATATACTGATCATATGTACATGTATTCATTGTTGTGTATCTTTTATAGTATTAAATGGTATAAATTGGTTATACTATAAGCTATAGAAATAATAAGTCACTTAATCTTCATAATGGCACAGTAAGGTGTGAACCCAAACCCACTGCTGTCATAGTCCAGCTCATAGTGACCCTGTAAGCAGACACACGGCCTCCGAGCTGATTCTGACTGGTGGGGACCCTGGAGGACAGCGTACAACTGCCCTGTAAAGATTCTGAGGTTCAAGTCTTCAGAAGAGAAGACTGCTTCATCCTCACATGGAGTGACTGGTGGACTCAAACCACTAACAACCTTGAGATTAACTGCTCTGCCAACAGCACTGAGTACAACTGCCCAGGGAGTTCCTAGACTGTCATGTTTCTGGAAGCACAGTGCTCCCAAGGAGCAACCAGTTCAAACTGCTGATCTTCTGGTTAGTAGGGAAGCTCTTTATCCACTGCACCACCAGGGCGCCTTCTGTGGGGGTAGGTACTCCCACTAGTCCCTGAGTTAACGGATGCCCTGGGAAACTAACGTCTTAAGACCTTCTTAAGTTTCTGCGCTAGGATTTAAATAGTTGGAAGAGTTGCCCATTTCTTTTGCCTCTGTAACCCTGTGTATTCTTCCCGTTTTCTTTGGATACTTCCTGCATCATTCCATAATTATCCGCAGAATGCTTCACTGTCATAACTCAAAGCTTGAGGGTTTTTTCAGTACTTCCAGCTTTAGAAATGACATGCCAGTTCTTCCTTTTGGTTTTGACTTCCCAAGCAGACCTTTGAAACCTACTCTTAAGGGTCTTTACGTCATTGTTCAGTGTGTCACAACTCTTGACTTTGAGATGGCTTCTACATTCAGGTGAGATGTGCTCGTGGGGTACTTTGATTCTGGCGGGTTTGTTTCATTTCACTCTGCCATTGTCTGTTAAATCACTGCTCCTTGGTCTTGTTCTGACCAATAATAATTTCTCCACCATCTCTTTGTAAAAGAGAATTTGTTTTGATTTAAAAAAAAAAAAAAATTTAACGGTGAGCTCTGGTGGCCTAGTGGCAAGAAGCTGCACTGTAATCCTAGAAGTATGCGGTTCAAATCCACCAGATGCTCTGCTGGAAAAGGAGGAAAAATCTCCTCCTGTACCAGTCAGATCTGATTTGACAGTACACACACACAAAATAATAAAAATAAAATTAAAAAAAATGAAAAAAAAAGCGCATTTGTCTTTTTCTCTCTGGTACACTCCCAGGTAGTGTAGTTATCATCTGAGTTCTTGAGAAAAAAGGTCTTTCCAATGAAGGAGTCACCGATCTTGAAAATATAGGTGATCTCCAGTGTCATTTCTATCACCAAAGCCACATTTTCCAATTGTAAGGCCTTCTTTGTTTCCAACTGTTGCCTTCCCGTGACTAGTCATTATTATTGCATCGTGGTGACATGTTTGAGCAGATAATGGTCAAACTCTTCAGCTTCTTCTTCTTTGACCATAATGGTTGATGTATGACTTTGAAAAGTAATAATATTAACTGAGGTGGGGTTTTTGGTTGTTTGTGTATTGATATTGTCCTTTCACTGACCTTGTAATCCTGGATGGGTCTTGAAACGCTCTTTTTGACAAGAATTGCAACGCCAGTACTCTACAATTTCTCAATCCCGGCATAGTAGACAATGGTCAGTCTTAGTCCATTCCAACTTGAGATACCCCTCTGGATGCCTTCCATTCCATTTGTTTCACAATTCTACACTCCAGTTATTAATGCTTATTTGTTAACAGTTTCTTCTCCTTTGAGTCATGCACATCAGCAAATGAAGGTCTCGGAAATTCTCTTCATCCGTGTCATTAAAATCGCCTCTGCTTTGGCACGGGGTCTGCAGCAAAGGCTTGAACCTGGCAGAGGTCAGGAAGATGGCACTGGAGATGGCAGGGTTTCACTCATAGGTTTGCTGTGAGTCGTAGTTGACTTGAGGGCATCTAACAACTCCTTGGAGAAGGCAGCTCTTCCGAGACTGTATTTTACGCACCTTTCAGCCTGAGACTCTCATCTTCCAGTATTTTCTCGGTGTGCTGGGGTGCTTCCTAAGGTGTGCACTGTCAGGTCTGCATCAACAGGCTCTGCTCTTGTCTGTCTGCGTCTGGAGACTCCGCTGACACCTGTCCGCCACAGGTGACCTTGCTCATATTTGAAACATTGGTGGCGTAGTTTCCAGAACCATGGCAGCCAGCAAGCCCCCACGAGAGGACATGCTGACCTGTTAGTAGTGGGCTTTTTCACTAAAGCAGCTTCGTGCCCCGCTTGCATTGCAGGGTTCTACGGGCAGCTTCAGACCTTCTGCCCACCGCACTACCCTGACTCCCAGCGAGCCGTGCCACCCGGCAGCTCCTGCAGTGGGGTGCCGCCCTTCGAGGACTGTCTGGTCCCCACGTCTGTGGGCCAGGCCAGTTTGGACGTTTTCCAAAGAGCCTTCTCGACTCACTCGGGCATTACAGGTATGTTGGTGACACGGTGTGGGAGATGGGGAGTTCCCTGTGTCCACCCTGGACTGCATTCAGCCCACCACATGACCACGTCGAGTCCTCATGTGTGTACCCTGGTTACTGTCCGTCTCCACCTGGCTCTCCAGCCTTCCCTGGCCGTGGAATGACCGTCCCATTTCGGCCACCGTCTTGTCCCTCCTGCCCTGTCCCAGCAGGCTTTCTGCATGTCTCCATGTTACTGGTCAGTCCCATCCTTCCCTCACACCGCTTCGAGCATGGTCCTCTAGACACACCCTTTCAGGAAATGACCTTCAGCAATTCCCGTAGCTCCACTTGCTTCAAGAGTTCAGTCTCCTTGATAAGATTCTCCAGACGGATAGCCCAGGAGCAGTACTTTGCATCTTCCCCAGTCTCTCTCTCCCCCATTTTTTTCTTCCTGGCTGCCTCCTTCTGGAATGTTCTTTCCCTACCCATCTCCCTTGGAGTGTCATCCTCATACCTCCCCGCAACACCATCCTTTACTTACCCGTATTTGTACCCCTTTTTATTTCATCCAGCTACTAAGAACTCAGGGCCCCCCATTAATGACACCCTCTGAGGACAGAGACCTGCTGGGCAGAATAACCCAGTGCAGCTGCTTCTTGGCCGTTCTTCCCACCCCGCCCGCATTTTTGAGAGAGGAATGAAGTGGGAGTGGGCCGTGGCGGGTGTCTGACTGCATCTGCTCTGTCTTCCAGTGTATGACCTGCCTTCAGCTTCCTCCAGCCTCTTCGCAGAGTCCCTCCGCAGCGTGCCTGATGACAGCACCTTCCTGCAGGTCAGCGCCTTGGACCGCTGCCCTAGCCAGCTCTCCTCTGTCTACACTGAAGGCTAACACTCGGCTGGCCTCTCCCACACGCCGGGGACCTTTCTGTTGCTTGTCACCCTGTGTGTCTGCCCTCCTGCAGACTCCATGAAGAATCGTGTCAACCGAGTCAGTGGAAGGTGGCATGCCACCGCTGTGCCTTCAGAGGGCAGAACTGGATGCGGGGGCTGGGCAGGCGGGTGTCTGTAGCCACTCCACATGCTTGCTGGGTTTGCGGGGCCAGCCCCCAGCATCACTCTCCCCAAAGGGAATGTCAAGTCTCCATCTACCGGATATCTGTTACTTCCTGGCTGTTCATCTTTAAAGGACCCCAGTGATGTGCATATGAAGATGTTATTGAGGGTCAGCCTTGCTGGAAAGACCACATAGAAATGGACACTCCGGTTACTTGGCCTCACTGCTGGCCCAGTGCAGACCCAGGGACAAGGGATGTCCTGGCCCAGAGCACCATGTGGTCTCCGTTCCCAGGGCCCTGGGAGCCCAGCCCTGTCTGCCTTGTCCAGAGCTGGCTGCCCACGTCTCAGCCCCGCACAGACCTCTCACCTCTCAGTGCTTCTCTAAGGCCTATCGAGCATGGACCCCTGAAAGGCACTACAGCTCTTTCCATTCCAGCACCCTGTCTCAGATCTTTAGTTTGAAAGACTTTCTATTTCTGTCTACTTTAAGGTTGTGGTGGTGTCTCAAAGTCTGTTGTTTGGAATAATGATTATTTCCATCTCCCCAGCTGTATCCATGGTGCACAGAGCTATGGTGCTGCCCCACCCTACCCCCTTGCAGCACCTGTGGGTCCCCCTAGAATGTTAGCTGAGATGCGAGCCAAGGCTTCTGCAGGGAACCAGGGTGGACACACTGGTGAGGGGACTTCACAGTCACTCTCAGTCAGAGACCTTGTTCTAAGGGATGGGTCACCTGCATCTTTTGCCCATTGTCTCTGCTCTTGTGCTCTACACAGAATGTTCCAGAAGACTGTAGAACAGGATGCACTGAGTTCTGTGCATGAGATGTATGTAGGAAGGTGGATGTCCAGTTGTTTGCAAGCCTCTGTTTAATTCTGGATAGACTCTTACCTGTCTGTGTCCCCCCTGACCCACTTTACCTTCTCCTCCACCTCTTTATACACCTTCCACACTCTACTTAACCATCAGTGTTTGAAGGAGACAGTTAAGAGAACAGTGGGCATGCAGCAAGCCATTTTCTAGATCTTTTCCAGAAAACTTTGGCATCAAATGATGGCAAGCCTGAAAGGGAAATCATTTTCTGTGACTCCCTGATAACACTTTAAAAATGCCAAGTACTCTAAATAGGCTACAGGAATTAGCCTGACCCCAAAGACCTGATAAATTCTGACCTTTTGGGACTATTATATTTCATGGTTTCTTATCCTAATCTGTCTTTTCAAAAAGGTTTCCTGGCCAAAAATGAAACCATACTGATTGTCATAGTGAGATCACTACAAGCTTTAGCAGGACTTATTAAACAGCTTGGGGTGAGATTTGGGGGGCTGTGGCATCTGTGTCATGGCAAACAGGGGTTTTGGGCCCTCCCCACAGGCAGTGGAGGATGGTGGATAGAGAGCCCCAAGAGTGGGTTGATGTTTTTTCTGTGCCTTTGGTCAGCTTGGTGGTTCAGGGAGGATGCTGTGCCTGGAGGAAAGGCCATGTACAGACCCCCCAAATCTGCAGAAGATGGGGTCACTCCCTCTACAAACCTCCGCTGTGCTTTAGGAGAGGATGCAAATCAGGCTGCCTTTCTGGACAAGCTTTTGGGTTGCTCCCAGGTTCCCATAAGCTTTCTGGGCCCTGTCTCTCAACTCAGATGAAGACACAGCCTTGTTAACACTGGCTCTGCCAGAGGCACCCCTCATGTGTCTTTCAGTGCCCTCTCGTGTCTTGAGAGAGTCCATCTGTCCATTCTTAAATTTTGCAGCTTTTAGGAAAAAATCCAAGTCTGCATCATGGCTATGAGGAGAAGCAGGCCAAGACCAGGCTGAGAAGACCGTTGATGGTGGTGGTCCTCATTCCTGGTGTGGGGAGGAAAGTGGACAGAGCAGGGAACAAGCCTCAGAAACCTGAGGATGTGGTACCGCCACCGAGATGAGAAGAGAGGAGATGCCGGGGCCCAGCCTCGCTAGGAGACCTCCCAGAAATTCCCATGCACTTTCCTGAAGCTGAGAGGACAGGACAGGACAGGACAGGGGCCAGGCCAACATCACTGTCTTCATTCCAGAAAATCAGAGCCCAGGCCTGAGGGTCATCGTGGTCTCCAAAGGTGACTCAGGAAGCAGGTCCCTCACCCCCACCCCTTAGTGCACCCTAAGGCGGTATTTGAAAGCAGAACCTCAGATCATGATGCACCCAGGTTCCTTCCAGACTCATCTGGGCCCTTCATTCCAGAATCTTCCCTGACAGCAGCCAGGCCTTTACTTGCCTTCACACTGGATCTGTGTGCTTTCATCCTTTCGCTTAAGCAGGAAGAGTGGGAACTTCAAAGAGAAATCATTCCCTTCTACGCCCTGGCCTCTGTTGCGCTGATATGTAGCATATTCCTAAATCTCTGAAGGGATTGGCATTCCTCTTTTTTTTTTTTTTAAAGTGGGCATTATGAAAACACATGGCCCAACATCAACTATCCTGTTACATTTCAAAATAAATTATAATAAATGAGTCTGTCTAGAGACATTTCATTTATGCTTCATCTTAATTCCCTAAAGAGATTGCATCAAACTGTCCACTGTAATCCAGCTCCGATCAACTGCTTACAATTCTTAAAATATTTATGAGTCCTTTGAGGACTCTGCCTTTACCTGTCTCCCCGAAATAAACATCATCAGACTTCGTGCACTGCCCTGAGTAGGTGAGGCTATAATTCTCCCAGCTGGTGGGTTTGAACCACTGACCTTTAGATTCACAGCCCATCATTTAACCTAAAAAAATTAAAAGGGAACAAGTCTTTAGTGGATCGCAATATAGATTGTGCTGTTAACAGAAAGAAAGTTCTGTCCTGCCGTTTTCCATTTCCATCCTTAGCACGTTCAGCTGCTGATCCCAGTTTTGAAATTGTTTTCAGCACCTTACTTTGTAGTTCCTTTCAAGTTGCCTTAAGGTTGAGTCACTAGAAATGTTCAGTCTAATTACTTGGTATTTTATTTGACTGTTTGGACCCACTCGTGTATAGCAGCATTTTTTTTTATGGCACTTTTTGGAATTTCTGCAGTGAATTTCTGTTTTATTTGCAACAGATAACACAGAGGGGGGGAAAGAACCCTCATTGGAGAAATGGCGAGTGTGAAAATGAGATTTCTTTTGTACCGCAGCAGAGAATCCTGTGTTACCGTTGCACTTTGGGGAGGCGGGGTGGCTGTGGAAATCTGTTTTCCATAAATCACGCCGGGTCCTGTGCGTCGTCCCGGGCACTCAGGCAGGACTCAAGCTGCAAAGCGTCCTGGCCGCGGGTCCCTGTCAGTCCAGGGGCACAGCTGGGACTCATTGTCACCAATCTTCTCGAGAATTAGGTACACTTCATTTTCTATTAATATGTATAGTTGTGTGATTTGTCACAGTTACGTTTCATATAATCATAAGTTATTTTGTCTTATTTCATAAAGTCCTTTAAAAAAAAACCAACAACAACAAAACCCACCGTGTTTAATGTCAGAAGTCCAATGACTGGGGACTGTGCACGGAATTAGAACTGGAACCCGGGTGCGCCCACCTGACCATGTCTGCAGGGGGCCGTGGCTTTAAACCCTCTGGTGACCTCTTGTTTGTTTGTTTGCAGTACTGTTTTGTTTGGTTTTGCAGGACAGTAATTGTAATTGAAAGCAGACGAGGGGGAGGGGATGACCCAGACCCCCTTTAAAACGCTTTGGGCCAGAGCTGCAGCCTGGATTTAATTATAGATATGAAGACGACATGGCAGTCAAAATGAGTGTCTCCCTGTGTCCTTTACATGTTGGGAGTGTCCATAAATAAAACATGAAGTTTTATTTCATCAGATTTAATTAAAGCTTTTATACACGTTTTCTTGGTTAGTCTATTAATCCACCTCACAAACTGGATAAATGTGTGCTGGGCTGGGAGGGCTTGTTCGTGCCTTGTCAGGGTTGTACCACATCATCCACCAAAAATGCCCCCCAGACCCAGTGACAACGGGGCTGGCCCCTGCCTACTCTGATTACTCCCTGCTGCTGGTGGCAAACAGGTGACAGTCACCATTTTCCTGATTTCTTCAGGAAAATATGGAAAATCTAGCTGCTGTCCAAAAGGATGGCAGTTCAAGTCTCCCAGAGGTTCCTCACAAGAAAGTCCTGGCAAACTATCAACAAAGAAAGCAAGACATTGAAAATAATGCCGCCGTTTTCACAAGCAGAGAGTAAGGGAATATAAGAAAGACCATCAGGGAGATAGGCCGACATGGGGCCTCAGAGTGTGAGGGGGGGCTGCAGGCTCGGGCTCTTTCCTCCTCTGTACCTGGGTCACGGTGCATCAGAGCTTCCTCAGCAGCACGTAACACAACAGAGGAACGGGTGGAGCCACAGTCCCGCAAGGGAACTCAGAGCAAAAACCACGGTGTGATTCTGATTATAAAGGAGCCCTGGTGGTGCAGTGACTAAGTGTTCGGATGCTAACCAAAAAGTCAGCAGTTCAGACCCCTCAGCTACTTGGGGGGTAAAAAACTAGTCATCTGCTCCTCTAAGAGGATCCTTCTGATTCTGGTTCATGTTATTGTGACGTGAAGTCGGCTCCGACTCACCGCAACCCTGTTCAATAAAGCGGCCCCTGCCCGGTCCTGGGCCAGCCTCCCAGCCTCCGCAGAGCTGGCGCCCATTTGTTGCAGCCATGTGTCAATCTCTGCAGGGTTTCCAAGCCTAACGTATGTCCAAAGCAGATTACTGGAGCTGTAAGGAGCAGCTAGAGGATTCAAAGCGTCAGCCTTTCAGTTAGCAGTCTAGAGCTTTTACCATTGCACCACCAGGGTCCACATGACTGCTCGGAGACCCCACCAGTAGG